TAGGCAAGATCCATTTTTTACCCAATCAAAATGATTTACCTTTCTCTTCTCTTTTTTCTCATCTTTCTTGGTGAAGACGGTGTGAACCCACCAGATCTTGGTGAACATGCTGCCATAGGCTAAACTGAAGCCCAGTCCTAGCAGCCACAGGCGAAACTATGAGAGAGAGAGAAAGAGTTCATTTGGGAGCTCAGCTCCAAAGCAGTCATTCGTTTTTTAATAACAAATCTTTGTCGTGTTCAAAGGTCAAGGCTGAATGAGAGGAAACGGCAATAAAAAAGTGAGTATAACGTTTATGACACTACCTGGCAGACCACAGGGAACTGTGATCTATGGACATGGAGGCCATCGATGCCGAGAGGAAAGACAGCTGCTAATGCCAGCACACAACCCACCGCCGTCATGTTGTTCAGATAGGGCTGAGAGTTCTGAATGTATCTGTCAGAAGGGTTACAACAGATTAGAACTCAGTCTACAGATATATTGCACTCTTATCAAAATGAGAAATCCAAAACATTTTATGCTGGGCTGAAATATTATTTTGTAACAGTCATGGGAGCATTTAAAGGAGTCATAAAACCGTGAAAAATCTAATTTTCCTTTATCTTGTAAAATAAGTGTCAAAACTTTCTTGTCTGGTTCAGTTTCCTTCCAGGTTCAAATAGGGTTTTATTAAAACCTTCATCCACGATCATTTCATTTCAGTCATAACGGTTTGTGTGCCACATTATAATTATAGTGAACCAGCCACCATGTGATGCAGCTTTGCAAACAATTTCTTAATCATCTTTGCTTTTCTTTTTCAGTAAAAATATCTAATCACTCTTAAAATAAGAAAATTACTTGGAGAAAAATTGTGTAAGATAATAACTTAATGGCTTGTTTTCAGGCAATATTTCTTGAATAAAGTATTTTTAAATGTTCCAACTCCACTGGCAAACTTGTCATATTTTAACCATAAACTTAAAGGGGTCATATGATGCGATTTAAATTTTTCCTTTCTCTTTGCAGTGTTACAAGCTCTTGGTGCATAAAGAAGATCTGTAAAGTTGCAAAGACTAAAGTCTCAAATCCAAAGAGATACTCTTTATAAAAGTTAAGAGTCAACCACGCCTACCTAAAACGGCTCGTTCTAACACGCCCCCACATACCTACATCACTATGTGGGAAGATTTGCATAACACCGCCCAAATGTTCACATAAAGAAAGAAGGCGTAACTTTTATTCTAACTGTAGTATTGTTGCCGCTGCCGCCATGTCGTGAAGACGGTAGTCCAGCCCGGGGTCGTCACATGTGGTTGCCGCAAGCCCGCTCCGTCGAATCCGCCGGCCGCGCCGCTCTCAAGCCCGCCGGCCTCCGCTCACTCTAGGCCACCGCCGCTCACTCTATCCCGCTGTCGCGACGCTGTGTTTCGTTGTGAAAGCGAAACTACTTTGTTTTTTTAGCAACATCATATGACCCCTTTAATACAACTTTGATTGATTTTAGCATAATTGGGTTAACAAAAATAAAATGACATAAAATAAAAACACAAGATATAAAATTATAAAAATGATACAAGCTTATTGAAGGTGTGGTACCATAATAATTATTCAAATGGACAGAACTAACATACTGACCAACACAAAATGATCATAAAATTACCTTTAATTGTCAAATTTTACAGCACTTCAGATCAATTGCATGTGGATTCCTTATGAACACACTAACCTGATGCTACTGTTGTATATGTTGAAGGAGAGGCAGACTATGCCCAGAAGGATTCCCAGCCCGGCAAAGACAGACACGGATACAAAGAGCTTCTGGGAAAGGTAACGGAACTCCTCGATCACCTTGGTCTGGTCTGCCGGAGGGCCGAGGCCTGTCAAAAGAGAAACCAGTCAGGGAAAATCAGAGAAACTGAAAGAAACTCTGGAGCGCAGACAGAACGGAACGGCAGATAAGAGCATACAGATCACAATGTAGATGCTGAAATAAATCAGAGACTGACTTCATTGACAGCTGGAAGAGCAAAGGCGAAGTATTCCAGCTTGGTTCAGAGAGTCTTAAGCTACGTCTGCGCTGTCAGACTTCAGAAACACAAGACTTGGAGGGAATATTAATGGATTTTTTTGACAGACAATTTTCTGTGAAATAAGGCCACTGGGCCGGTTTGACACGTCAAGTGTCTGGAAAATTTCCGGGGGAAAGGAAGCTCACGACGTTCACACATTAGCAGGACCAGACGGAATCTGACTTCTTTCACACTTTCTGCGCTTGTTTTGGAGGAAAATCTGCAGAATGAAACAGATTTTAGGATGCGTTAAATGGAGCTGCGAGTACTACACTTTTATTTCTAGCTCAAAGAATAAACAAATACACTACAATATTTCATAAACAAACATCCAAAGGACAAGGAATGTGTAAAAATTTGTGACTAAAGGCTCTTATATTTCTGAACTTGTGTGAGATCAGGGTGCCATTTGTCAGTTTCATTTTTTTGTTCAAAACTTTTCCAACAACATGTTGCAAAATGAGAACAGTTTTATATATCTGGGGGGATTTTTAATGATGGCATCTGGTATGAACACATTGGCTTGTAAAATGAAGACATTTGGTTTACATGACAGGAGATCAAAGTGGAAGAGAGCAGGAAGACTAATGTCAATGCATAAATCTACTGACAAGAGTTTTTCTTGCAGTGAAACATCAATATAAAATCAACATTCAAATTTTGATGTCGTTAGTTTTAATGATCTGAAAACAGTGTGACAGACATTTTTGCTGTTGTATGGCATAATTCAAGTCATAAATTAGTTGAGAGAAATAAGCCTATTATAATTAGTCAAAATAATTAATTAGTCAGTAGTTATGTTTTATTTAAACTTGTATTGGACAAATGACAAATTTAGTTTTTTCAATGAACACTATTTCAATGTTTATTATTTAATTTTATATTTCAATGTAAACTACTTTTCAAAAGTTTGGGGTCTGTATTTAATGTTTTTTATTAGAAGTCTCTTTTGCTCACAAAAGCTGCTTTTATTTGATCAAAAATACAGTAGAAACAGTAATATTGTGAAATATTATGACAATTTAAAAGAACCGTTTCCTACTTCAATATAAAATGTAATTTATTCCTGTGATTCAAAGCTGGATTTTCAGCATCATTACTCCAGTCTTCAGTGTCACATGATCCTTCAGAAATCACTCTAATATGCTGATTTGCTTTTTTTTATTACTATCAATGTTGTGTTGTGCTGCATAATATTTTTGTGGAAACGGTGATACAAGATTTTTCGATGAATAGAAAGTTCAAAAGAACAGTGTTTATTTGAAATATAAATATTTTGTAAATTAGAAATATATTTCCTGGCACTTTTGATCATTTGAATGAGTCCCTGCTAAATAAAAGTATTAATAAAAATCATACTGACCCCAACATTTTTAATAGTAGTGTAACATACTGTAAGTCTGTGGATGACCCATGTAGTACAACACTGACACTTTTTTTTCAAAAGTTCAAATAAATCTTCATGCTGTGAATTAAACTGCCAGCCCTCATTCCTAAATGAACAACAGTAAGTGCGCCTATATTTGATCCAAGGTAAATTAATGTAATTAACTTAAATTTCACAGATCATCTATGTATTAAATTAGCTCACTGTGTCAATCTGAAGGAACTAAAGAGTTCACAGCACCATTGTAAACTCATAGTAAAAGTGTTATTTTATCACTCCTCACACTAATGTTATCACTCTTCCTGGAACTGTGACAAAAATTATGAATTTACGCCTCTCGCCGTTCAATCTGTCACTATAATTATAACCAAAAACAGGATTCCTGTGGGAACAATAATTACAGTGATGATGGCTGTCTTGTGCGTATAAAGCTATTTGAAAAAGACAAACAAATGACAGCGACTGGCAGAAATCTAACACTGAATGATAGTTAAAAACAGAATATTTCTCTGTCAGAAGCAACCGTGTCATTACCAGGGACTGAAAGCTGACTGTGAGGGACATGTGTCCATGAAAGACAGCTGGCCCTCGGGTTCGTCAAAAGTGACACAATGTTTGTTGATACTTTTCTGAATGTCAGAACACTGACGGGACAAGAGTGACACCTGACATTTGCTACTGCAATGTGGCAGCAATGCTGTGAGAGATAAATGTGTGTGTGAGTGTGAGTGTGTGTGTGTGTGTGTGTGTGTGTGTGTGAGAGTGTTAGAAAGCTCTGTCTTGTCATGCATTCGCACAGTAAACCTTCCATCGCCCTTGATCTAAGAATCAGGACAGGGTGTTGCTATGGAGACCTGGCTTAACAACAGTTTCCACAGCAATTTGGAAGAGAAAGTCATGCTAAAGTGGTTGTCAGGAGCTATCAAGAGATTGCTGAAAAGCCTTGCTTTTGCCATATGGTTCAAAAAGAAACCAAGTCCTGAGTTCTGACCCGTGTTATATGTTATAAAGGCCACATTTTTATTTTAATAAAAATTAGAAACCATACAAATGCTTGAGAATCTCACCCAATGGATTCCGGAGGAGGTTCTGCGCTATTTGGAAAGAACATCTGCCGCTTCTGTTATTATCAAGGGCAAAAACAGCAAGCAATGTCACCAGCTCAATGCTCCGCTTTTCACCATGGAGGAAAAGGGAAAACATGACTAAATAGGTCATAACTCAAAATTCAGTTTTTCTGAAAATAGCCGCGATTGGCTAAAAAGGATGTACGTTTGCAAATGAGGGAAGAAAATTATTTTATATTAAAGGGGTCATATGATGCTGCTAAAAAGAACATTATTTTGTGTATTTGGTGTAATGAAATGTGTTTATGCGGTTTAAAGTTTAAAAAACACATTATTTTCCACATACTGTACATTATTGTTTCTCCTCTATGCCCCGCCTTTCTGAAACGCGTAGATTTTTACAAAGCTCATCGGTCTGAAAAGCGAGGTGTGAGCAGGCATGGAGTAGGTTGTGTTTTGGGCGAGCTCCACTAAATTTTATTAAGTTAATTATAATTTTGGGCGTTTTACGGTTTAAAATTGGCACTAAACCGTTCTGTTTTGGAATCTCAACTTTTTTTTTTCTATACTGCGGTACGTAAATGGCTAAAAGTCTGCGACAGTACACCTACACGGGGAAGAGTATTGCGAGTAGGCCTGAGTAGGCCTGCTCGTGCAGCGATCAGAAATCGCCGGAGAAACAAACTGAAATGGCGGATACGAAAGCAGAGATCCTGTCGCTGTTGAGAAATGATATCCCCACGCTGCTCAGGGCTGAATTGAAGACTGTTCTCGTGGACGAATTTAATAACATGAGGTCAGAATTGCACGGCGTCAAAACGGAGGTCGTTGGTAACATCGCACGATTACGCTCGGATCTGGAATCTATGAAAAAGACAGTAACCGATATGGAACACGGACTATCAGAGTGTTCGGACGATGTGACATCATTACAAGGATCTGTGAGCAAACTCAAAATGGCTGTTGCGGCTTTGCAGGAGAAATGCACTGATATGGAGGGGAGGATGAGGAGGTCAAACATCCGTATACTGAACGTGGCAGAGGGACCAGGTTCGAGCTCTCCAGACGCGGTCGCAAAGCTGTTAAAAGAAGTCCTAGGTATCCTCCCAGCGTGGCTCGTGCACGATCGTGCACGATGCAAACTTGACTTGACGATCCGCGTTTAATGATGTTAAGAAGTTGCTTCGAGGTCGAGACGGAGTGCGCTACGGTATCTTCCATCCAGCGAAACTTAGGATCACTTACAATGGCAACGAGAAGGAATTTTGCGACCCGGTGGAAGCCATGGCGTTTGTGAAGAGAAACATCGTCCCGGATAAGGCTGAATAGCAGACACAAAGTTGTTGAGGACAGAATACGCATACTTGACATTTGACAGGCAATGCTGCATATAGGACAGATTATACACACTTAAGGTATGTTACGTAGGACAGAATTTTTATTTATTTACTTATTTTTTATTATTATTTTGTATTTATTTATCTATTTATTTAATTATTATTTTTTTTCTATCTTTCACAATTGGTGAGTAGATGACTTTGTTTTAAAATGTAAAGGTGTATGGCATGACGTTACAGGAAGTCAAATTCATCTCTTTTGCTTTCACAATTGTAAGATGATCAGATTGCCTTTAAGTCAAATATTGGAAAAAAGGTTATATGCTCTTTATCTTTGTTTGGTTTAGGAGCGCCTGCTACACTGTGATTTCTCCATAACAAACACTTAAATGTGTGGATATCTTTTCAATGGGTTAGGGGGTCACTCTGTTCCGTTGAGTGACGGGGGGGTGGGTTTTAACTGCACCAAATTTATATTTTACATTTTACTTAACTTGGCTTTTTTCTGTTAAGCTGGAGGAGGGATTACTGTTACACTTTCACTTTCAGAATGATTAATAAAACCAATAGGTCAACAGGCTGCAATATAAATTTTGTCAGTTGGAACGTCAAGTCCTTAAATCACCCAGTTAAGCGTAAAAAAGTACTTTTGCATTTAAAACAACTTAAGGTGGGGATTGTCTTTCCTCAGGAAACTCATTTATGTAAAACAGATCATTCTAGATTTAAGTGATTCTAAATCTAGAGGCACAGCAATTCTTATTAAAAAAAACATCCCATTTGAGGCCTCGATGGTTGAAGTAGACCCTGCAGGTCGTTTTGTCATTGTAGTTGGTAAACTCATGATAGATGATAGTCTTTTTTTCACAAATATCTTCTCCAGATTACCAAATCTGGACACACATTATTTGATATTAGGAGGAGATATGAACTGTGTAATGTCTTCTTATTTAGATCGTAGTTCTGTCAAAACTGCCAATCCCTCCAAGTCAGCTGATGCCATTAAATTATTTCTAGACACATATGGGATATCTGATGTCTGGCGATTTCGTAATCCTGGATCTAAAAGTTATTCTTTTTTCTCACCTGTTCATCAGACATATTCACGTATAGACAATTTTTTTTCTAGATAAGAATCTTCTCCCTTTGATTAGCTATTGTGAGTATTGTGCTATTGTTATTTCAGACCATGCCCCTTTATTAATGACTATGTGTATACCAGTTACATACGACAGATATTGTCCCTGGCGTTTAAATACTCTGTTGCTTTCAGATGAAACATTTGTTAACTCTATATCTTCTAAGATAAAAATATTTCTCGAACATAATCAAACACCGGAAATGCCTTTCTCAGTTATATGGGAAGCAATGAAAGCATACTTAAGAGGAGAAATAATATCTTATAGTTCCCACATTAGAAAAATACAAACAGCCAGACTTGAGGAATTAACAAACACTATACTAAAATTAGATGCTACCCTGGCCCTTACACCATCACCTGCTCTAAACAAACAAAGATTATCACTTCAAACAGAATACAACCTTTTAAGTACTAAACGAAGCTTACCAGCTCTGATTGAACTGTTAAGCGACTTTGGAAATATTTCTGTATATAAAATTAATATGCAGAAAAGTGAGCTCATGCCCATAAATTTTACATCACATTCAATACTATCTAATTCTTTTCCATTTAAAATAAGTACTAAAAAATTTAAATACTTAGGTATCTGGGTCACTAATAAATATCATAAACTTTATAAAGCTCATTTCTGCCCACTTATAAACCATTTAAAACAGGATCTTGACCGTTGGAACCTGCTCTTATTATCTTTAGGAGGTAGAATTAACACCGTCAAAATGAATATGCTGCCTAGGTTTTTGTTTTTGTTCCAAAGTCTCCCTATTTTTTTAACAAAATCTTTTTTTATGAACATAGACACCCTTATATCTGATTTTATCTGGAATAGGAAAACACCTCGGATGCGTAAAAATATACTGCAAAGACATCGTTCTTGTGGTGGACTGTCTCTTCCGAATTTTCAACAATACTACTTCTAATATTACATTTATGTTGTACTGGGTTAACTCTTCTGACAGTCCAGCATGGCTGTTGTTTGAAAAAGCTTCTTGTAAATCTGCATTATCTGCTTTACTTTGTACAAAGATTCCTCTTTCTGACCCAGTGTCTAGATATTCTCTAAATCCAATTGTTAGAGCATCTCTTAAAATATGGAATCAGTTTAGACGAGCCTTTTCGCTTACTGATCTCTCAATGCAAGCTCCTATCATGAGAAATCATATGTTTCCTCCTTCGATTATAGATGCTGCTTTTAATTGCTGGGTAGAGAAAGGACTTGTCACACTGAAGGATCTATATAGTGATTGTAGCTTTATGTCATTTTCTCAAATAAGAGCAAAATATAATATTCCACAAACACATTTCTTTAGATATTTACAGATTCGCAGCTTTATGATATCTAACACTCTGGATTTTCCAGTTCTACCTACAGAATCACTACTTGATACAATTCTAAAAATCAACCCACTCTCCAAAAATAATATAGGTTTGATATATTCTCTGATTTCTACACAAAATTTAACATCCTTAACAAAATCAAAGCAACAATGGGAAAGTGAACTTGATTTGCTTTTCCCAGAGGAAACATGGCAGGATATTATAAATAAGATTAATTCAACTTCAATTTGTCTACGACATACAATTATTCAGTTTAAAGTGGTTCACCACCTACACTAGACAAAAGCAAAACTAGCAAAATTTTCACCAAATATAAATTCTTTGTGTGAGAGGTGTAGAGTTGAGATAGCTAATCATACGCACATGTTTTGGTCATGTTCTAATCTTGTTAATTTTTGGCAATTAATATTTAATTTTCTTTCAGAAGTCCTGTATTTATCTATTGATCCTTCTCCTATTCTTGCAATATTTGGTTTAACTACAGAACTTTGTTTAGATAATAATACAAAAAACATGATTTCTTTTTCAACTTTAATAGCCAGACGTCTCCCTTTTTTTTTTTTAAATCTGTTCTGGTTCAATGTACATATATGTATAATATATGAATGAACACGTGTATATGTATCTATGTGTATATATATGTTTATAAATAACAATAGGGTACAATAGTGCAGGGCGGAGGGCTCTGTTGGAGCAAGGCATCTTTTTTTCATCCTTTTTCTTTTGAAAATGTTGTTATATTATGTAAAATATTAATAAAAAGACTTTGAAAAAAAAAAAAAAAACGATACAAATAAAATAATATAAAAAAAACGTTTGATTTAATATCAAGATATCAATATTTTTTACCCAGCCCTAGTAAATAAGTGAATTCTTTCACAGAAACTGCACTTTGTGTGACGATGCAGTCACACAGCATCCCAAACGAGGGGAAAAAAGCATTTCATCTAATCTGATCATTCAGACTTAAAATCCCGTTTTATTTCAATTGTTGTTGTTGTTTTCACAGATATTATTCTGAGCTGTGACATGAAAACCAACAGAAAGGGGAAAATACAAGTCAATTTCACTAGACTGGTAAATACTATGACAGTTTATTTTTAATATTTGGAATTAGTACTTATTTTTGTTTCATTTAAATTTTAAAGTTTTAGTAATTTTGTTGTGTTTTTTTATTTCAGTTTTAGTTATCAAGAGTATAATTAAAATGAAAAATGTTGCTTTGGCAACTAGCTGAAATAAAATTGCTTACGTTTTTAAATATTTTATTTTATTTCCGTTAACATTAACAAAAATGTAAGATGTATTACTTTTATTCAGCAAAGATGCATTAAATTCTTTGAAAATTAAATTCTATCAAAAATTCTATGTCAAATAAGTGTTGTTTTGAACATGTTTTGATAAGTCTTGGCAAGCATAAGAGACGTCTTTAACATAAAAAAATTGTATCAAAATCATAAAGAAATAATCACAAACATGTTGTTTTCAAAAATATGTATATTTTGACAGAATATAGCTATGTATATATGTATGTGTGTGTGTGTAAATATATATATATATATATATATATATATATATAGCCATCTCT